TGGTTAAGAACACTGGTTGTTCTTGGAGAAGACCCGGGTTCGAATCCCAGCACCCACATGGCAGCTATCAACTGTCCGTAACTCCAGTTCTAGGGGATCTGACAGCCTCTTCTGCCTTCCTCAGGCATCGCACAACACAGGTGTACTTACCTACATGCAGGCAATACATGCATACACATAAAATAAAAATAAAAAAATATTTTTAAAAAGGCGTGTGCTGCTCTTGCAGAGGACCTAAGTTTGGTTCCCATCACCCACATGGGTTCACAACTGCCTGTAACTCCAACTCCAGGGGATTCAACACTCTCTTCTGACCTGAAGGCATCTGCATCATGTTTACATACTCCCACACATAGATACATAATTAAAAAATAAATCTTAACGCCAAACCTACAAAATCCTACATATGGTAGCGTGTCAGTCCTCAAAATTTACTGGATTCCCTGTTAAGGGAATCCATTAAAAAAAAATTATTATTAGCTAGGTGTAGAGGCACATACCTATAATCCTAGCACTGAACATACAGGGAAAGAGGATCACTAGAAATGAGTCTGAGTATTACACATAGTGAATTCAAGTCTGTCATGGGCTACATTAACAATGTCTCAAAACACACCAACAAACTACTGTTAGAAATCATGACATGAAGGCCGGGTGTGGTGACGCATACCCTTAATCTCAGCACTCGGGAGGCAGAGGCAGGCAAATCTATGTGAGTTGGAGGCCACCCTGGCCTACAGACTGAGTTCCAGGCCAGCTGAGGCTACAGGGAGACCCTATCTCAAAAAATCCCCCCACCTCCCCCCAAAAATAAATGATGACATGAGGACCACTGAGATGGCTCAGCAGGTAAAGATGCTTGCCAAGCAAGCCTGGTGATCTGGTTTGATCTCTAAGCATAGAAGGAGAATATTACATAAAGTTGTCCTCTGCTCTCTATGCACACACAGTCACACCCATGTCTGGACATACACATACAACAACAAAAAAATCATGCATAATATGAAGTCAAAATCCACTTTATTTTTTGAATATCAGACTACCCTCCAATCCTGACCGGCAGCTTACTTTTCAAAGCTACAAAGAGCTCATCATGCCCTCAGGAAGGCAACAGGGCAGCCCAGTGCCACCTAACTGATAAGTTATGCCCCCACCCCAGGAAGATCCCTGCTCTAGAATTACATTTAAGGCACTCAGCAATTAGGCTTGCGAAGGAGGCAAAGGATCTCTCATGGATGATTCTAGTCCTGGAAGGCTTCTTCTTCTGCGAGCTGCCAGCTCAATCTTCTGAACCAGACTCACATCCCAGGGATGGGTCACAAAGCTGATGACAGTTCCTGGTACCTCGCTCCCCACACGACCCACTCTTCCTGCTCTGTGGATGTAATCCTGCAGGGTAGGGGGGAAATCATAATTGACAACCAGTTCCACATGAATGCTGTCTAGGCCACGTGAAGCTATGTCTGTGCAGACAGGTATGTCTTGAGATCCCTTCTGGAAGCCCTGGAAGATGCCTGCCCTCATTGAGGCTGGCATTTGCCCTTGTAGCCTTAGATGTTGGATCTTGTGGTCATCCAGAATGTATCCCAGCCAGTTCACAGTGCTGGAGCTGTTGCAGAACACAAGGACCGTTCCTGAGGGTCCAGTCTTTTTTGCTTTGTCATGCTGCTTGAGGATCTGAATCAACTCTGTCACTTTCTCTGTTCCCTTTAGTTTCATAAATGTCTGTCTGACATGAGGCATGATGCAGTGGAGCTTGGCACTGGTGATGGTGGTGAGAGAGTCTAGGTTGGTGACTTTACTCAGCACTTGGCTTACACCTTCAGGAAATGTGGCTCCCACCAGCACTAACTGTGCTTTGGGATTGAAGGGATCGTCTAAGTCAGCTGGGCTTTCTGCTATAGGGCTCTTTTCCAAGATGTAGTCCACCAGTTCCAGGAAGCTTTCATCCAGCAGTGTGTCCGCTTCATCCAACACCACGAAGGAGAGATACTGTAAGCTGATCAGCTGACTTTTCAGGGCCTTCCATAGAGCCCCTGGAGTGGCCACTAGTACATCTGCTGACGGTAGTCTGGACAGCTGCAGTTTGAGCCTACTCATGCCACCACCATCACCCCCTAGTCCCCGCACCTGCAGGCCCAAGGAACTACCCAATGACTGGGCTACAGCCTGCACCTGTTCCGCCAATTCTCGGGAAGGCACAAGAACCAGGCTCCGGGGAGAGGCGGTACTTCGGGAGATCAAGTCTGGACGGCTCAAGAGCCTTTGAAACATGGGTAGTAAGTAGCTCAGAGTCTTGCCACTGCCGGTTTCAGCGGCGCAAAGGATGTGGCGACCGCGAAGCAGTGGGGGGATGGTCTTCGACTGCACCGTGGTGGGCCGAACGATTTCGGGGGCAGCATCCTGAAGTGCCAGCAGCAGCCGGGGCTCCAGACCCAGGTCAGCCAAGCTGCCGGAGGACAAGAGGTTCCGCAGGCTGGGCGCCTCGTGCTGCGCGCGCTCAATGGAGAAATGGTCCCCTCGCGCGCTCCGATGCTTCCAGCCACGCGAAGCCAGCGGCGCGCGCTCCCAACGGCCCAGAGTGAGGCGCGCGGGCTGGTTCAACTCCGCCCGCCGCGCCGAGACCAGGAGTGGACCAGGTCGTACCAGCACCGGCCGGGGGGTACTCCGGCCACCGCCCTGTCGCTGCTCCTGCCGCCGCTGCAGAGCTCGCGGAATGCGTACCACCGGCAAGGGCTCGTCCGAACCGCGGACCGCTAGGTTACGGCGGGGTTCCAGGAGCAGCCGTACCGCGAGCGACAGCAGCCGCAAAGACCGGGTTACAGCCATCGTTCCCAACAAGCAGAAGAGGCGCGTGTCCGTGACGTCATGTGTGCGCCCGTGGTCTCGGGTACGGTGGCCGGCGCAGCTCGGTGAGGCGTGTGGCTCTGGAACTCGTCAGGAAGGAGGGAGGATCTTTACTGTGAGGTCTGTAGTTCCAACTGGGGATGGTGCTGTCCAGACCGGGCTCATCTTTCGGGAAGGGCGTGCGATGGAGGCAGGAGTGGGGGGTTCGGAAATAGGAGGTGGCTGTGGGGCCCTGGCCCAGTGAACCAGGAGTTGGGTGCTTCAAGTCTCTGCGATTCCCATTTGTCATCTTCCTTGCTCCTATATTCAGAGCCGGTCGCCCCAGTAAACTCCTAGGGTATGGAGTGCGGGGATGCTTTTTCAGATATGGACTCTGAATGAATGGTAGGCCTGGGGACTGAGGCAAGGGTCGTGGTTCTAGGCTCAACCCTGTTCCCCTCTAGCTGAGAGCCCAGAATGCATGCTGGTGGCCTTCAGCTTATTTCCCCTCTGACCTGGAGGTAAGGTCTCAGTTCTATCAAGTGGAGTCTCTCCTTTTCACACTTCCCCCGCTTTCTTTTCAGCCAGGCTTCGCTTCCTTGGCACACTTTTCGGCTTGCTCATGCAGCCTGCTCATATTCTTTTTTTAAAAGATTTTATTATTTTTATTTTATGTGTACGCGTGTATTGTTTGCATGTATGTAAGTGCACCTGTGTCGTGCAATGGCCGCGGAGGACAGAAGAGGCTGTCGGATCCCCTGGAACTGGAGTTACAGTTATTAGCTGCCATGTGGGTGCTGGGATTCGTACCCGGGTCTTTTGCAAGAACAGCCAGTGTTCTTAACCGCTGAGCCATCTCTCCAGTCTTTAGCTTGCTCATATTCATTGGCTTCTCAATCGGATTTCTTAACTTGCCTGCTCAGTAGTGCTAAGAAGAATCCTGTTAAACCTAGGAAGTATTGAAGCTTATCTCACATAGCCATGGTCAGGCAGACTATTTGACTTGAGTTCAGAGGTTCCTGTTGTTAAAAAAAAATTCACTTCATACTTCTTGCTCATGTCTGAAAAATGGGTGTCAGATATTTTTTGTAGTGTGAAGTGCCTGGGGTGGGAGATAAGGTAAATGTTTGTGGACTGATTACCTTGGAAGTTCCTAACATTTGTAGAAAGTGTTTTAAGTAACTAGAACTGGCCCTCCATATCCATAGTTGGACATCTGTGAATTTTCCACTGTGGGGTGAAAAACATTCCCACAAAAATTGTGTCTGTACTAAACATGCATAGACTTTTTTCTTACTTTTTTGTTTGTTTGTTTGTTTGTTTTTCGTTTTGAGACAGGCTTTCCCTGTAGCCCCAGCTGACCTGGAACTCACTATGAAGACCAGGCTGGCCTTGAACTCAGAGATCCACCTGCCTCTGCCTCTTGTGTGCTGGGACTAAAGGCATGAGGCACCACGCCCAGCCCACATGTTATTCTTTTTTAAAAATAAAATATAACAACCATTTACATAGCATTTATACTGTATTAGTCATTATAAGTAATTTAGAAATGATTTAAAGTATATTGGAGAGGTTTTGGATATAGCTCAGTGATACTGTACTTGTGGAGCCCTGGGTTTGATACCCAGCATTGGAGAAAAAGAAAAATATATAGGATGATATATGTAGGATATATGAAAATACTATGTCATTTTATATAAGAGACTTGAGCATCCTATTATTTTGGTATCTGTGAGGTTCTTGGAATCAATACCTTGTGGATACCCAAAGGTGATTAAAAAGATTAAAAACTGACTGGAGATGGCGGCACATGGCACGTGTCTATAATACCTCACTTGAGAGTTAGAGGTAGGATGACCAGAAGTTCAAGGCCAACTTCAACTACTTACAAAGTTTTTTTTTTTTTTTTTTTTTTCCTTTTTGTCTTTTTGAGACTGGGTCGCCCTGTAGCCCCAAATGGCCTGGAACTCACTTTGTAGACCAGCCTGACCTTGACATCACAGAGATCACTTGCCTCTTCCTCCTGATTAAAGGCCTGGCAAAAATAAATCTTTTTTTTTTTTTTTAATCTTTTTGAGACAGGGTCTCTCTGTAGCTCCAGCTGTCCTGGAACTCACTATGTAGACCAGGCTGGCCTTGAACTCACAGAGATCCGCCTGCCTCTGCCTCCCAAGTGCTGGGATTAAAGGCGTGTGCCACCATGCCTAGCCAAAAATAAATCTTTTTTAAAAAACTTTCGGCCCCTTGAACCCATTTGGTGGAAGGAGAAAACCGACTCCTGCAAATTGTCCTGTGACCTTCATACATGTGCTATTGTGCCTGCACACATACCCAGCGAAATTTTAAAAAGTTCACTCAGCTAGGTATAATGGTTCATTCCTGTAATCCTAACATTCAGGAGGCTAAAGAAGGAAGATTATGGGTTCAAAGTCATTTTGGGTCACATAGCAAAATTGAGGCCAGGCTGGGATATATACCAAGACCCTGGCTTAGTAAAAACCCAAAACAAACAAAAACCAGTCTGCACTTGAGTCTGATGTGTAGCTAAGTTTGAGAAGTATAGTTATAAATGAAGCACTTAGGGAATTGAAAGGCTTTATGAAAATGAATAGTACTATTAGTACTCCCTTACCATTCTGTTTTCCTACTCATACAAAGACTATAGTGTGGGTGCTTGCTGTTATCTCTTTAGCTCTTGTCACCATATGCTTGAACCCCTTATCCCTTTGCACTGAGCTACATCCCCTTACCCTATTCCCTACTTCTTCTGGCCTTTGTTTGATCACCATCTGGCGGGGTGTGGTGGTGCATGCCTTTAATCCCAGCACTTGGGAGGCAGAGGCATGTGGATCTCTGTGAGTTCAAGGCCAGTCTGCTCTATATAGTGAGCTCCAGGCCAGCTGAGGCTGCAGGGAGACCCTGTCTCAAAAAGACCAAAAAAAAAAAAACAAAAAACCCCTCAAAAAACCCACCTCCATCTGTTGTTTGAATGGTATTATTGAAATACAGCTATGGCCATGCCACCTCTTGACTTCAAAGCCATTCATGAATGACTCTCTGTTGTGTACAAATTATCTCCTACTCTTCCTCAAGAATCTGGCCCAACTTCATCATCATCTCCTCCTCTTCCTTCACTTAAATTACGGGGCAGGAGAGATGGCTCAACAGCCAAGAGCACTGGCTGTTCTTGCCGAAGACCTGGCTGTTCTTGCCGAAGACCTGGGTTCAAATCTTAGCAGCCATATGGCTAACAACTGTCTGTAACTCCAGTTCCAGGGTATTCAACACCCTCTTCTGTCCTCTGTGGGCTTTGCACTACATGGGTGCATTTACACACACGCAGGCGTAACACTCATACACATAAAATAAAAATAAATTTTAAAAAAGAGGGGCTGGAGAGATGGCTCAGCAGTTAAAACACCGGCTGTTCTTGCAGAAGACTGGGGCTCAAATCCCAGCACCCACATGGCAACTAACAACTGTCTGTAACTCCAGTTCCAGGGGATCCAACAGCCCCTTCTGTCCTCCGCGGGCATTGCATGACACAGGTGCACTTACCTACATGCAGGCAATATACACATACACATAAAAAAATAAAAATAGCTGGGTGTGGTGGCGCATGCCTTTAATCCCAGCACTTGGGAGGCAGAGGCAGGTGGATTTCTGTGAGTTCAAGGCCAGCCTGGTCTACATAGCAAGTTCCAGGACAGCTGGGGCTACAGGGAGACCCTGTCTCAAAAGGACCAAAAAATTGAATAAATAAATAGTAAATAAATAAATGAAAAAGAAAAGACTTTGAAAATTAAATTACATTTACTTATGTGTAGGTATGAGGGTATGTGTGTGCTACAGTGCTTCTTTGGAGGTCAGAGGACAACTTTCTGGAGGTGGTCCTCTCCCTCTACCTTGTTGGTTTTGGAGATCGAATTCAAGTCAGAAGGCTTAATCGCAAGTGCCTACATGTATGTAAGTGCACCCCTGTTCTGCAGTGCCTGTAAATGCCTATGAAGGTCAGAAGAGGGCTTTGGATTCACTGGAACTGGAGTTAATGGACTGTTGTTAGCTGTCATGTGGGTGTTGGGAACTGAACCCAAGTCTTCTACTTGGGTACTCTAAATCACCAAGCCATCTCTCCAGTCCCTGTAATGTGTTTTTGACACTGTGCCATACTCTGTAGACCAGGCTATTCGGGGCAAGACACATTAAATATGCTCTGATTGTCATAGAGCCTTTTTTTAGAGGTCTCACTATGTAGCCTAGGCTAGCTTTGAATTCACAATCTTTTTGCCTCCACTTCCTGAGTGCTGGGGTTATAGACAAGTGCCATCTTGCCCAGCAGAAATGGCTTTTTTTTTGAGATAGGGTCTCCCTGTAGTCCCACCTGGCCTTTAACTTACTAGGTAAACCAGGTTGGCCTTTATCTTACAGAGATCTGTCTGCCTCTGCCTTCTGCTTGCTTAGATTAAAGGCATGTACCACCACACTGGGCAGAAATGGCTGTTTGTTTGTTTGTTTATTTATTTATTTATTTATTTAT